CGTGCCTGAAAATAAAAGCCTCAAAAAGGGCCAGGGATGTAGGTAGATGTGAAGGCTCTGCATTTTAAAAACTACCAAAAAAAAAAAAAAAAAGACTAGAAAAGAAGTAATGGCCAGATAATGAACTCCTGCCCCCCTTTGGTACTGAGGATAAAACTTAGGACTTTGTACTTGCTGCTGAGCTATATCCCCAGCCCTGAACATTTTTCATGTATTTGTTGGCTATTTATAATTTTTCTAAGAAGGGACCATTTCAGTTTCCAATTCTTTAATTGAATCTTTCATTTGATGGGGAGTAGGGGGGTTGCTAGTTCTTTTAAGTTCTTTGTAAATTGTAGATTAGTCTTTTTTTCAATGACCAGCTGACATTTTTTTTCCCATTCAATAGGTTGTCTCTTCATTTCATAGGTTGTTTCCTTTGCTATGGAGAAGCTTTTTAATTTGATATGATCCCAAGTATTGATTCTTGGTATTATTTCTTGGTTAATTGGGGGTTCTGTTCAGAAAGTCCTTGCCTGTACCTGTCTTCAAGAATTTTACCTCTTCAGCAGATGAAGAGATTCTGTTCTAACATTTAGATTTAGAAAATCCTCACTGTTTTTACAGTTTACAGGAGCTGTGGGCTTTTCTTGGGGCTAGTGCTGCTGGCCCAGTGCCTGTTTCTCTTTGGAGCTACCTACCGTAGGGGCTGACCTTGGGTCTGTGGCGGCAGGTTCCTCTGCTTGAAGGCAGAGTGAACTTCTGTACTGCTTTGTTCTTTTCTCTGCACTGTGCTGCAGTTCTCTACCATCCCTGTCATTTCTAATTTTCCTGTCAGTTCCCTCCCATTTCCCAGAGATCTGTTTCTTTTTGCTATTTGCCAAGTTGTTATTTTCGAGGCATCAGACTCCAGGTCACGCAAATGCTGTGTTTTGTTGCTGCCCACTGCGCTGCCGTTTTATTTGCCATTAGTGTTTCTTTTTTTTGGCTGTCTCAAGATGCCTTCAGGGCATTTCTGGTTTGGTGGGAGTATCTGGGTTTGAACCACAGCATCCTGAGCCTGACTGCTTCGCTTAAGCAGGCACTTAAACAGCTGAGCTAATGGGCAGGCCCTGCCATTAGTGTTTCTAATAGAATAATTAGGCATTACACACTTAGGGTTATAGGAATTCTTCTTTTGGCTCTTTTTTAGTTGTCAGTTTGTCATTTTTCTTCTTTGATGTTTTGGGATATAGGTGTTACATGTGTGACAATGAAGTCCAGTATTGCAGTTCAGGCCGATTGGGCCAAGTGGTTGATTATGTTAGAAAACAAGCAAGTGTTACAACTCCAAAACCAGGTAATTTGTTTCTTTCTTTTCTTTCTTTTTTTTTTTTTTTTGTGGAACCAGGGATTGAACTCAGGCTCTTGCGCTTGCCAGGGAAGCGCTTATTCTACTGCGCCATCTCCCCAGCACTGGTAATTTGTTTCTTCGTGAATATTGTAATATTTATGCACTATATCTATTGGTATTTAGAATTATTTATTTTACTACCAAGAATTACATATGGCTGAATAATGTTAGTGATGGTTGATTTTAAGATATGAAACAATTTTTGGTTCATAATGCAAAATTTGAAAATATGTAGTTATGAGGTTGTTAGCATTAGAAAGGATGTGAGAGGTGAGGTAGTTTCTTAAAATAAAGTGCCCCAGACTGTGCTAATGGGAAGCTGGCCTAATCCCCTAAATCTGGCCATGGATTTACTTGTAGACCCACCTTCTACTATATTTATTCATAAATGTTATAATGGGAAGACTTCATTCTGTCTTCTAATTAAGCTTTGAATCTCCTAGTGGTCAGATTCTTCTCAGGTGTTTCGCTACTTGCAGTAATTGGTTTGGAATGCAGCAGTTGCTTTACTACATTCACAGTGGGCCTGTAATCTCGTCTCGCTGCTGAGTGGCTTTGACTTGAACATGTTATTTGCCAGCCAGTTTGAACCACCAGTGATACGTGTATGACTGTCTACTGGTGGGCATGTGTTAAGCTTGTTCTTTAGGTATTTAGTCACTAGTATCTTTATCAAGCTATAATTGTTCTTTACTTCAAAATTAGTTGTCAGCCCATGAAATTCATTCAAAAAATTATGTCCATATTCATTTGATTATTTTATGTTCAAATTTTACACTGTAAGCTGTTTGCTCATTTGTGCAGTTTTTATGTTAAAAAGAAGATACCGGGGCTGGAGAGATGGCTCAGTGGTCTAAAGCACCTTCTTGGAACAAGCTTGGCTAAAGCACAGGAACCACGGTTCGATCCCCCAGCACCACATGCCAGCCAGCCGTGCCCCCTGGTGGGCTGAGCTGGACACACACACACACACACACACACACACACAATAAAT